TTATTGTATTAGCTTTCAAAGAGAGGGAGAAGGAGAAAGAGATAGAAACATCAATGATGAAAGAAAACCATTGATCGGCTGCCTCCTGACGCCCCCTACTGGGGCTTGAGCCTGCAACCTGGGCAGGTGCCCTGACCAGAAATGGAATCATGACTTCCTAGTTCATGGGTCAATGCTAAACCACTGAGCCACACTGACCAGACTTAGTAACATATTAGCTTTGAACACTTTGTTTTAAAAGAGATATAAAATCATCCACTTTTCAACACTAACCTAAATATTCCATCAGCTGTTCAGCAGTTATGATTTCCATCATCGGTGGAAGTTTCACCTGAAAAACAAAGTATTTTTTCTATAAAATCAAATGTTTTAGGTGACTAAAGTGTTTCTCTGTCATAAATACAAGTATGTATGTACATATATGTATCTACTATTTGTATACATTAACATTCACATTATTAAAATCTTGATAGTGAATCTTTATAAAGTATAATAGTCAATCCTATAACAATAAAATTTACAAAATTATATAAGGTCTCATAGACATTGAGATGTCCGTTTCCAATGCCTAGTGTTCTGCCTTTCACCATTCACCATGATTGTCGTTAGGCACCTATAACAGTGTCCTGCATGATAAAAAAGGCAGTTCAAGGGCAGGAAAAGGCATCAAACATGTGACAGGTGACTCACTCACCGAGCAGTTTTACTGAAGACAGGCTTAAATACAGTTCAATATCCCATTACTTCAGTCTACACTGGCCATTTTTTATTGTTGAATGGCTAACATGAATACAGTATTAAAGTATTAGTCACACACTGAAGAATTCAGACTGTATTATTCCACTTGTAAAGTTTAAAAACACGTTAAATTAAGTTATATTGTTTAGAGCTGCATACTTGGTGATAAAACTACAAAGAAAAGTAAGGAAATGGATACTATAAAAATCAGGACTATGGTTAGCCCTAGGGATAAGAGAAGTGATAGTTGGAAAGGAGCCTATTAGACATTTCTGGGGTGCTGGCAATGCTGTATTTCTCTTTTTTTAAAATATATTTTATTAATTTTTTACAGAGAGGAAGGGAGAGGGATAGAGAGTTAGAAACATCAATGAGAGAGAAACATCTTTCAGCTGTCTCCTACCCACCTTCTACGGGGGATGTGCCCGCAACCAATGTATATATGCCCTTGACCAAAATCGAACCTGGGGCCCTTCAGTCCGCAGGCCGAAGCTCTATCCACTGAGCCAAACCGGTTAGGGTAATGCTCTATTTCTTGACTTGCACGGTAGTTCTACTGATGTTTGCTTTGCAATAAATTGTTAAACTGGACATTTCTGTTTTATGTACTTTTCTTATTATATTCCACAATAAAAAAGTTAAAATTAGATACATATTTAAGTTTCTAAAGCTAATTCAGCTGCAACACATCAGTCTAAATTAATTTTTCAAATGAACTGGCATGAGTTACACAGATATTACAGCTAATAATTATAAATATTTTAGGTGACTTATTCAAAAGCATACTCTGTGATATATTCATAGGAGAAAAATAAATAGTGTAGGATGGAAATTCAACCAAACTAACATATCAATGATAAGAGAAGAACTGCATAATTTAAAATTGTTCAGAATTATTTTCCACTCAACCAAGGAAATAATTTAAATCAGAAATTTCTCCAAATCCCCCAAGTGTTGAAAAAGGTCCTCTGGGTGTCAAGTTACCAAATGTGGTAATAGCATGCCACAAATTTTTGTTTCTTTGTTTTAATCAATGAATAAAATAGGTCTTATAAAAGATCCCTGTAACATCGAACAATGTGAGAACCTCTGAGAGCATATATGATAGTTGATGCTTATGATTTATTCATCCAGTGGATTTATTACTCAGTGAACCCAAGAGGTTCCATGGAGGTTTTGATCATTGCTCAATTCTAATTATTTTCATTTTCTGTTTCAAAAAAATTATAATACTTTTTAAAAAATATATATTTTATTGATTTTTTACAGAGAGGAAGGGAGAGGGAGAGGAATAGAGAGTTAGAAACAGCGATGAGAGAGAAACATCAATTTGGCTGCCTCTTGCACACTCCCTACTGGGGATGTGCCTGCAACCAAGGTACATGCCCTTGACCGGACTCGAACCTGGGACCCTTCAGTCCGCAGGCCGACGCTCTACCAGGGGTCCTCAAACTTTTTAAACAGGGGTCAGTTCACTGTCCCTCAGACTGCTGGAGGGCCGGACTATAGTTTAAAAAAAAACTATGAACAAATTCCTATGCACACTGCACATATCTTATTTTGAAGTAAAAAAACAAAAAGCTGTTTTAGGTTTACAAAAAAATTGAGCAGAAATTATGAAGAGTTCCTATATATGGTATGTTTTTAAACTGAAACTTATTGGCAAATTATGGTCCCTGCTTATTTTTCTAAATAAAGTTTTATTAAAACATGATTTATGTATTGTCTGGCTGCTTTTGCACTATAGTAGCAGAGTTGAATCTTGGCAACAGGGACCATATTAGCCCACAAAGCCTAAAATATTTACTATCTGGCCCTTTACAAGAAAAGCTTACTGATCCCTGCTTTAGGTGCTTTTTTAAAAAAATATATATTTCTTTATTGATTTCAGAGAGGAAGGGAAAGGGAGAGAGAGATAGAAACATCAATGATGAGAGAGAATCATTGATTGGCTGCCTCCTGCACGCCCCCCACTGGGGATCGAGCCTGCAACCCTGGCATGTGCCCTTGGCTAGAACTGAACCCAGGACCCTTCAGTCCGAAGGCCAATGCTCTATCCACTGAGCCAAACCGGCTAGGGCTGCTTTATGTGATTTTAACTGAAAGCTATAGGTAGGTGCCTTCAGTATTGCTTTTGGATGTCTGATATTTAAACCAGTAGTTTATATTCACTGTGAATGTTCATATCCTGAACAACTATCAGGCCAATCTGAAAGGCCATTACACCTAGCAATGTTTCTTAAACAAAATAAGACCTATATATTATTTTATTCAACATTTATAAAATAAGGCCAATATCATCAGAAATAAATTTTATATTTTATATATCTTCTAACTTGTTGATTTTTATAATTAATTAATTAGTCTAATTATATGGGATACAACCCTCAAATATACCTATAAATGGCATCGGGTTTTTTTTTTTTTAAATATATTTTTATTGATATCAGAGAGGAAGTGAGAGGAGAGACAGAAACATCAAGGATGAGAGAGAATCACTGATTGGCTGCCTTCTGCACGTCCCCCCACTGGGGACCGAGCCTGGAACCTAAGCATGTGCCCCAACCAGAAATCGAACCGTGACCTCCTGGTTTATAGGTCGTGGCTCAACCAAATATAGCCTAAAGAAGCAAATTGAAAGTGTATTCCAAGACATAAATTTGAGTAAGTTACCTGATATCAGTTAAAAAGATGTAGAAATTTGAGCTTGAGCAACTTAATGAATAGCTTTCCTTCTTTCTTGATTTGTTGGAATATCATAGCTCAACTATTTTACAGATTATGAATAATAACCTACCTACTCTCCACCAGTCCAAAGATAATTTTAATTAAAACTCCATTTCTAACTCAGTACTTAACCCTGTTTGATCATTTTAACTGTCATCTCTCATCCAGAACCACAGCATTTACTTCCTTTGAATCACTCAAATCCTCCCAATATGTTCAGTTTATTGATTTTCTCATTATTTCATACTCAAAAAAGAGATGATCAACTATTTCACTTTCAACTCTAATTCCACTGACTCACCATGAATCAACCCTTTAAAAGCCCAATCCCTGATAACCCTAACTAGCCATTCTTCCTGCTCCTATATCCAGGTATAAGAGAACTGGGGGGGGGGGGGGGAGGGAATAACAATAAAGCAAAACTGATATACTAAAAGTTTTTAAAGAATACCCTAATTTATTCATTGCTACTCATGTCTTCCTACTTATGCCTCAAATTCCTAGGTATAATCTCCTAGGTTAGAATTTAATGTACTTTTCTCATAATACCAACCCCTCATGCTTTACAACCTCTTTCCTCCTTAATTACTTACAAGTTTGATAGTTATTTCTGAAGAGGTCAACTGTTATTCTGCCAAAATGGAAAATGAGACCTCAATTTCCATCTGTCTATCTTAACATAATCTTGTCTCTGTATGTATCTGCCTTGTCCCATTCCTTTCATTACTTCAGAAAATAAGATTGTTCTTCCTCCAAAGAGAACTTTACCACCTATTCTGAAATGTCTGTATTATCACTTTTCAGCAACCTTGTTGTCCTCACACCTGTCTTTTTTGGCAAAATATTTCCTATTCTACCAGCTACTTGATGCTGTTATATTTGACAATAACTACTTCTTTTTTAAATATATCTATTTTTAATTCCAGAGAGAAATGGAGAGGGAGAGATAGAAAATAGAAACATCAATGATGAGAGAAAATCATTGATCGGCTGCCTTCTGCATGCCCCACAATGGGGATGGAGCCCACAACTGGGGCTTGTGCCCTGACTGGGAATCAAGCCGTGACCTCCTGGTTCATAGGTCAATGCTCAACCACTGAGCTACGCCGGCTGGCCGGGCATAACCACTTCTTTATTACAGCTTCTCTCTCAGACGATTATCATGACATTTTCTTATTTTTAGTTTCTTTTATGCCCTCTCTCCCTTAATGCTTAGCATTCCCTTCTCCCCACCAAGTTTAATCTTTATTCCTGTTTTTCTCTGTGTCTACTGAAAAATGGGATGGAAAGGAGAGTGGGGAAATAGAGGGAAGATAGAGATGTTTATGCTGGCAATTTGTAGCTCCTCACATATATTGAGGTGGAAAAAAGTTGACAACTATTGCTCACCACTCTCATTTATTCTTATAGTTATCATACTTACTTACACCTACGTAATGTTTCCCTAATTCAATTTTTTCTATAATTTTCCCCTCTTTCCTGACCCAGTCCATATTTCTAGAGGCATAATGAACATTTATAGTTTTTTCAGACATCTCCAACCTGACATGATCTAACTTTGACATCAACTTTCCCACCTAAAACACCTTCTCTATCTTTTGAATGGCCCAAGAAATCTCCATTGCCCAGATTAGAAAAAGTGGTGCCATCTTCTTCATTTCCTTTATCCAGGTAGTGAACATCATTTCGACCGTGACATCAAAGAGAAGGGGCAAAGAATTTCCCATCCAAGAGAGCTATCCTTATCAATTCTTCCTGCTACACTCACTACAGTCTTACCTCTCATCTAGTCTCAAGAAAAAGACCACTTTCACTATGTCATTCCTCTGTCTAGTAATTTATAATAACTCCCTAATATCAGCTATATACACTGAGTGGCCAGATTATTATGACCACCTGACGTTTGTAGGCAAATTAGCTATAATTTCGCGCTGAAGTTGCTAGAGGGCCAGACCATTATAAACAGGAAAGCAGGTTGTTTACCACAACAGTAGAAGTGATTTTTTTCTGAAGATATGGGTAAACAATGCGATTTAACAGCCTTTGAACATGGGATATCTCTATATATAAAAGCCTAAGCGACCGAACGACCAATCGACAGGTTGCTATGACTGGCACTGACCACCAGGGGATAGATGCCCAAGGCACAGGATCTGGCTCCCTCCTGTCTGGATTGGGCCTGTGGGGATCGGGCTGAACCCGGCTCTTCAACATCCCCCAAGGGATCCTGGATTGCAAGAGGGTGCAGGCCAGGCCGAGGGACCCCACCAGTGCACGAATCTGTGCAATGTGGAGAGGTTGAAGGAAACGTAAAATTTTCATGCCTAAAATTTCACTAATCGATCCTCAAAAACAAACTCCAACACCTTCTATCTATAATAATAAAAGCATAATATGCAAATCGACCAAACTACTTAACAGCAGAACGACCATCTAGATGACCTTCCAGACGACCACACTATGACACGCATTGGTGCCAGGCCAGCCAAGGTGGGTGTGATGCCATTGGTCTGGGGTCGGAGGGCCCTGCCATCCCCCACAATGGCCCCACAGAGGGAGGCCCAGGCCACCCTCTGCCCAGAGATCAATCAAGGAGCCCTGGTCAGGTGGGCAGGGCCTCTCTGTGGGCAGTGATCAATCGCCTCAAAGAGGGAGGCCCAGGCTACCCGACTGGCAGCTGCACTGTGGCGGGTGGGCAGGGCCTCCCTTTGTGGGAAGATTGATCTGGGCCCCCCCGGTCCCCCCATAGATCGCCCACAAAGGGAGGCCCAGGCCAGCCAAGCGATCGCACCCTATGCCTATCGCCATAGAGGGAGGCTACCGGTGGCAGGGGAGGGGGGCAGCATCCCACAGATGGCAAGTAGTGGCAGCAACGGGGGCGGGGCTATCTGCTGGCAACTGGGGGAAGTAAAGCCCAAATAGGCCAGGCCTAAGGACCCTACCGGAGGGGTCCCGGATTGTGAGAGGGCGCAGGCCAGGCTGAGGGACCTCTCCCCCCGTGCACAAATTTTGTGCATCGGGTCTCTAGTATATATATATGCCATATAAAGTTTAAACACACCCAGTGATGGTCCTCTGAAATCTGATACCTACCTTCATACCCTATTTACTATTTTTCTCTACTATAGCATTTCTCAAACTTTTTGGTTTTAGAACCCTCTACAGTCCTAAAATTTTTGAGGTCCCCGAAGAGCTATATGGGTTACATCTATCGATACTTACCATACTGAAAATGAAAACTGAGAAAAGTTTTAAACACAATACACAAGCACACATTCTACTAGCTGTCAGAGCAATGTCATCACACATCATGCAGGCTGGAAAACTCCACTGACACTTGTGAATGAGAATGAAAAGGCAAAAAGCATCTTAGTATTATTATTAAAATATTTTTTGCCGCTAGAACCCCTGGCTCACTTTAAGAACACTGCTCTATCTAACCTTAATTCTTTTAACCTGTCTCCCTATCAACCATTGAGGATTACTGATTTGTAACTTTTGTGTGCAGTAATAGCCTAGAGCAGCGGTTCTCAACCTGTGGGTCGCGACCCCTTTGGTGGTTGAACGACCCTTTCACAGGGGTCGCCTAAGACCATCCTGCATATCAGATATTTACATTACGATTCATAACAGTAGCAACATTACAGTTATGAAGTAGCAACAAAAATAATTTTATGGTTGGGTCACAACATGAGGAACTATATTTAAAGGGCCAGAAGGTTGAGAACCACTGGCCTAGAGGCAGAGAGAAGACTAAGAACCATAGGTTTATAAAATAATCTTCAAATTCATTAACGTGCCTGCAATTTAATTTTATTTCCTGCTATTGCATTTTTTTCCCTCCTCCACCGTACTCCCCAAATAGAACAATCCTTTCTCTGCTTCAGTATCTTTGAATACAGTATTCCCTCTGTGTGGAAGACCTTCTCTCACTCATCCTTCAGACCCAATTCACAGGTTATCACCTCTTTGAAGCTTTTTATTAACACATCCCATTCCCAATTACCCCTTTTTCTTTAATTCCATAGCACATTTAGAACTTCTCACAATGCACCGTAATTACTGTTCATAAGTCTGTCTCTCCACTAATAGAGACCTATATGAGAGCAGACTTGCATCTCTTTTTTTATTTTTATTTTTGGTTAATCCTCACCCGGGGATATTTTTCCATTGATTTTTAGGGAGAGTGGAAGAGAGAGGGGAAGACAGAGAGAAACACTGATGTGAGAGAAACACATAGATTGGTTGCCTCCTGCATGAGCCCTGACAAGGAGCTGGGCCCAGGAGGAGCCTGCAACCCTTGTATGTGCCCCTGACCAGAATCAAGCCCAGGACCCTATGGTCCACAGGCCGACACTCTATCCACTGAGCCAAACCAGCTAGGGCCAGACTTGCGTCGTATTGGTCTTTCTATTTCTAGTACCTCTCAGAGTGGGAACCCAAACATTTGATCATTCACTTGAAGTCATGTCTTTCAGAGTCAGTTCAGCCTGGCCAGTGTGGCTCAGTGGTTGAGCATCGACCTATGAAGCAGGAGGTCATGGTTCGATTCCCAGTTAGGCACATGCCCAAGTTGGGTTGTGGGCTTGATCACCAGTGGGGGTTTGTGCAGGAGGTAGCCAATCAATGATTCTCTCTCATTATTGATGTTTCTATCTCTCTCTCCCTCTCTGAAATCAATTAAAAATACATTTAAAAGAGTCAGTTCAATGCTCATCTATCCCCAAATATTCCATAGTATTTTTTTCCTTCCTCTGAACTTTTGCAGTACTATATAGAAATTAAGGGAAAAAAAATGAAGTTTAAGGGAAACTGTTATAACCTTCCTACAAAAAGACTGGGAACTCTGGACCACAGGATCAAGTCCAATTCCCTACTCTGCATCAAGGGCCTGCATCAAGTGGCTCTTCTTTACCTTTCAATTTTATTTTCTATTATTCTCCAATATGAACTGACCACCCCTGTCATCCAACACACACACACACACTCTCTCTCTCTCTCTCCATTCTATTTTTTCCCCATGTGTTTATACTCTTCTCTTTCCCAGGAATTCCATTTCCTTGTTAAATTCTACTTTTCCTTAAAAGCTTGGTTCAAGACCCAAAGATTCCAGGAAGCTCTCTGGGACTATGCCAGACCAAAAGAAAATTTCCCCTTTTGAGATATCCAATGTATTTCGATCTGTTTCCTATAACCTAGTATTTATAGTGTATGGTCTTGCATTGCTCTTTGATAATTTCAAGTAAGTCAATGCTGCAACCCCAAATAGCTTTAAGAGCAGGCACAGTTTTCATTTAAAACATTCGAGTGCCAGGATGTACCAGATACTGGTAAGATTTCTAATCTTATTTCTTTTGCATCAAACATTTCTAGTAACAGGGAGACGAAGGCATATAATAAATACCATAGTATTTATTCCCTTAACTTGATTTACGCCTTAACTGGCCAGAACACCCCAGGTTATTTTTTTCTAGGGAACATGTTATCTAGACATAATTATCAATTTGAAAATAAAATATGCTGAGATGTATCTTCTCAGCACCTTAAAACTGCAAGCTCAGATATGATACTCTATTTATAGGTAACTCACTCTGAGTCTTCAATATGCTTACTTTTGAAGGCCCTCCCTTTTTATGTTCCTTTACCTTGAATATACCTTTTCTTATTTTAGTTGTTACAATTTTAGCTCCCCTAACACATTCTGATGCGTGGTTACTGGGGATAATGCCAAACTATTTAAGAAGAGCCAAAGAGGAGGCAAGTAAAAATCATGCATAAATTTAAAATATAATCTTTGAAAACCAAGAAGTTGTGGTAATTGGGTCTCAGACCAATACTTTTCCTTAAATGGAATTTAAGGGGCCACATCTTCCCTATCACCATTTCCTTTGAGTATCCACACCCAAATGGAACAAGCATTAGTTGGAAAATAGACTGAACATAACCATTAGAACTTGGTCCCTGACATCATGGATTGATAATAACTTCTGAAAACCATTTCCCCCTATTATTCGTTCTTTTACATATGTGATAAAGTCAGTAAGAAGAAATAAATAAAAAATATAGTTTAAAAATAATCGTAGGACTTAGGATGTTCTAAGCCCTAGTTTTTTGTGAGCATATCAATCACAACTGAATGTTAAATTCCTATTTAAGTGAGACCTGAGGTTGCCAGCAATTCTTTCTGATAGACGTATAATTCGGAGGCCCCGAATGAATCTCATGTAAATAAGAAAAGGGAACTGATGAATGAGGAAAGAAAGGAGGAAGCCATCCGCCGGTCTGCAGCATCTCCCCTGCCCCGTTTCCCTCCTCCCCAAAAGCTGTAGGAAATAGGAAGCTACAGCATGTACCTTCCAGGCCAGAAGCAAAACATTGAGGATGGCCAGCAAAGGGCAGGGTCCGTTCTCATTCTGGGTGATGATGGGTGTGTGCTCTTCCTTCCACTGGATCCACTTGATGTGATAGACAGATTGTCCTGGGAAACGTTCCTTGGAGGCCGCGAGCACCTGAGCTGCCTCCCCCTCCTCCTCCTCCTCCCCTCTGCACAGGGGCACAGCCCCGGGCAACACCGCCGCGGCACCCTCTTCCCCCTCCTCTTCCTCCTCCTCCTCCGGGACCCTGCTCTCAGCTCCTTCCTCACTATTGAACTCGGAGCTACTGGGGAAAGAATGGAGGTTAGAGAACGACTCCAGGGAGTCCAGGCTCGGCGATTCCCCGGCAGGGCTCGGGTCGCTGCAACTGCTGCTGAGGCCGCCGGCGCTGCTGGGCTCCTCGGAGCCCGAGGCCGCT